AATCAGACGATGCATATATTTTAAGAATTCGTGGAGAAACCTATACTAAATTGAATAAATATGAAGAAGCACTTTTATGTCAGATTCAAACCTATCGAAAAATGACTTGGCAGATATTTGCTGTAGTCTAGGTATATCATCAGAAAGAAATAAAACAGACCTTGTTCAAAGAATAAAAGAATATCCACAGTATGAGGGTTGCAGAGAAAATGGTAAAATGTTAGGAAATCTAAAGATCACAAGAGAAAATATAGAGTCAGTAGCTTCCAGTTATCATTCAGAAGCCTCAGACAGGTTCGATAAAGACTTACAAACCTTGAGAGAGTTGGCAAGAAAAAGCACTGAATGTGCTAAAAATGCCCCTTTAAAAACTGGCTCATACGATGAAAAACTTCAAGAAGACCCTAAAACACAACCAAATAAATTAGCAAAGAAAAGGAAGTTACATGAAAGTGATGATACTCCAGTCCTTTTGGAAGAGAAATTATTACTAGAATTTAAAAAGTTAGAAAACGCAATGTTGAATTTTGACAACAAATTAAACACAGTAATGCTTTAAGTTCAGGAGACAAGGCAAAAAGCAGATATAAAAGATGCCTGGCCAAAGCATAAATTCGACAAAGCATGTGATCAACACGAGTATAATACATTGAGGTCCATAGGAAAAGAGCTCGACCTAGCAATAGAATCTCTGATAGTGGATGATATTACAAATCATTTGAGTACTGCAAAGGAGCAAATAGAAAGTAGAATATTCACATTACGAGTAGCAGAGGGTTTCGGTTAGAAAATTGCATCAGCCCTACCTAACACGCAAGATAATTGGTTAAAAGGTAAAGATTCTTTGATTGAGAAAGTGAAAGCTATTGTAGACGTGAAAAGAAATAAGTGACACAAGACATACAGTATGGGAAAAAGTCCTAGTTACTTATAGGAAAAAAATAATAATCAACCAAGCTATTATAATAAATATCAAAGTGAGTTCTGAAATAAGTTTTTTCGTCCCAACTATCAGTCTCAAAATGATATCACATTGCAAAATAAATGTTATATTTGCAGAGGCTATGGCCACTTTGCGAGAACCTGCACCTCAGATCCTAATAAAGCCTCTGTCCAACAACAAGAACCCACACAAAAAGCAAAATATTATGGGTTCATATTGGACACAGTTTAGAAAATATTACTGCCCCAGAAACAAAAATAAAAGAAGTATTGTTTGACCTAAAAGAACTCTTATCTAGAAGACCACTTACAGCTCGTCACCTCTCCTCAACTACTGGCAGATTAATAAGCTTAAACAAAGCTTTCAAGTATACGAAAGTTTAGTGCTTAGAACTTTACTCAATAATAGATACAGAGAAACAAAAGCCATGGGAATGGGATACTCCAATACAATTAACATCCCAAGCAATTATAGATATAAACTGGACTATAAAAAATTTAAATAGAAGAATGGAAGTCCAGCTTGGAAGCCTGCACAAGTAATAGCACTATTTGTAGATGCATCCACAACCGGTTGGACTGCAGTTTTAGAGAAAAAATGGGCATTTGGAAATTGGAATCGCTGCCACAAGCATACAGATATTGCAGTCCTAGAGTCTATGACAACTCTTTTTGGC